GTAATTTAAAAATCCCTGAAGTGATTTATCAATACTGCGTAAAATGCACTGCTTTCAAATACGGTTCGTTGTTTTTAGGAAAACATTTAACTCACAGGATCAGTACCACCAGAAAAGAGTAATTCAAAATTTGTTAACTTTTGATAAGGGTTCTTAGTTTAGATGCTGATGAATTTCGCACAGAAAAATAAATTGCAGTGGCTAATAAACCACATTAGTGCTATGTTTCAAGCCCAAACAATACATACTCAGCAGCTGTTCATCCCTTTGCTTCCTCCTGGGTTGCACATAAGTAGCATTAAATGAATCTGTAATAAGCAACGAAGGCCTGCTCAACATTTCCAAGGAACATCCGTTCAGATGGCTGTGGAAAAAAGGCAATAATCTCACTTTTTGCATTTCTACTTTATGAGAAAAAATAAGACAGCTAGCTTCCAGATATTTGCATGTACAGAAATCCAACTCCTCAGCTGCTGAATGCTTCCTGCTTCAAACTTACAAAAAAAATAAATTAATAGAATAAAGAAACCCAGAGCCAATGCTTGTTTCAAACCAATTAATCTGGATGCAAGTAAAATTAGTGGTCTTACTAGAACTGGAAATGCACTTCTGCTTCCATACCTCTTTATCACACACTAAATGATGCATATCTAACATAATATATAAGAAACATTGCTATCTTGAACTTACATCTCCCTCTTGTGGTTGAAATCAACTGCATAAACAATTTCTTCCTCTCCATCCTTGACAATCTTCCAAATTGTGCCTCCTATCATGTGACCAGCTGGCAATGGTGTGATTGACAAACCATGTCCTTTGCCTACAAAAGTTTTCAGTATTTTAGATCCATTACATGTATTAAACCCCATTACTCTGAACAAGAGATAGTAACTTTAAACAACTGAATACCTAAATTATTAGTCAGACAAAAAGTCAACTTAAGTATGAAAAAGCAGTAATATCTGTCCTTCCCATCTAACCAGTAACTTCAAAATTTGTTGCAATTCACTTCTCTGTTTCCTCCAGGATAAAGAAACTAAAGTGAAGATCACTTCTTCCCTCCACCTCCCACCAATACTCAGAGGCACTGCAGAGCTGCTGAGACTATAGACCTAAACAACAGTAAATTATATAGCAAACATATCACATGAAAGCAAGTGCCCTGGTGAAACTCAGATCCCTCTCTGGGGCAACACTGAATGTTTACTGTATCATTCAATGTTGAGGTACTTAAGAGAAACTTATATAAATTACACAAACTAGAAGTTTTCCAGAATGACAAACACACAAGTCAAATCATAGCAGGAAAGGTGTTCAGGTGCTGTAGTCAGGGATGACAGAACTTTTCAGTATCCAATGCATTTTTTTTATGTGGTGTTGCTCCTTGTCACTGATACTAGCCAGCATCTTTGTCAGATTAAAATTAGACCACCCATGACCATTACTCACTGACTCTGCTGCATGAAGTGCACAGTAATAGTTAATAATTAAACATAATCTTCTCAAATACCTCCACTGAGTCTTTTCAAATCATCTCCATTAAACATGAAAAAAGTTAGTTGTTTAAAAAAAAGTTAGACACTAAAATTACTCTTTAGATGTAAAAATTGGCAGCATAGACAAAGCTTTGCTACAAATATCTTGAAAAGAGGCCAGTACTGTTTCAAGGATAATATCTTATTTCTATTTTTCAAAGAACAAGGTAAGTATTTTGGCAAGCACCATTCCATGAACTGTGAGATACTGCATCGCAGAGACAAAGTGCTGGTGGTCAGCCTGTATGTGTCCCTGTTCAAGAAGAGGGTTTCCACTTCATTCTGACCTTTGCATTCAATAAGAGTGAAAAGCTGCTGAGTCTCCAGCTGCCACAGTTCCTAGGAATCAACTACACTGAGTACAGTTGAGTCAGTGAAGACTCCTCATTAAATTAACCACATGCTGTAACTTCATCTCTGCAACATATCCCTGCTCTAGAAAGCTTTCCTTTGTGTTACTGATTATGAAAAGTTCTGAGGTATCTACCACTAGACATAAGTAAATGCTTTTAACAGACAGGAGCAAATCCCAAGAAAAGTTACAAAAACACAAAAGAGAAACAAATGTCTCCCAACACTCTTTGACAGGACCTCCTCCACATTAAGTGAAAATTCTACCCATTTCTACATATAATTACTGAGGCAAACATTCTGCTGCCCCAACACAGGGCTAATTCAATCAGCACTGCAAGATACAGAATGCAGAATTTACTGCCTTTAAAAATGTTACTTTAACTCTTAACGACTCTGTTGCCTTTAAATAAAAGTAATTTCTTGAGGCTTTGGGGACAACTTTACCTTTCAAATTCACAATCTGAGAAAACTTCAGCTGTTGTATCTTATCAAAGGCTGCATCTACATCATCCAATGTAAAGAGGGTGAAATCTTCAGTATTATGGCGGGACTAAAATAAAAAAAGAGGTACAGAGTATTCAAACACTCCACTATATCAAAGGTGTTGTGTATGAAAGTATCAACTTAAATGTACCTGGTAGAGATCATACATAAACATCTGTCCCATTTTATATACAGGAATAGTTGCATAAATGGCACAATTCAACCCCATTTTTCCAACTGCATATGGAAGTGCACCAAGGTGTAGAGGGTCGGGATGAGAAAGAAGAACAGCATCAACCTGGTGTACATGCCTATAAAGAAAGGGACAACAAAAGCCATTGAAAGGATTTCCATATGGTGTTATATACCTCCTATTAGAGCTATTTAGAGAATACATACACAGTCTGAATGCCAAACAACAAAACTGAAACCCTTCAAGGCTTGAAAAAGCTTTAAAAATCATAATTAAAAGTTACAGCTATTTCCTAACGTTTGAGTACTTAAAAATGCAAGTGACTTTTGAAAACATAACTTTGAAGTCTGAAAGATCTAAGTTTCACATCAAATTCCTGATTGAAAAGACCGTAATATATATGTGGACACTAGAAAGTAAATTTACTGAGAGACCAAAAATATTATCAGTGCAGATGTGCTACAAATGGTTTATACATCTAAAAACAGACCACAACTTATCTTCTGATAAGAAAGACCAACTAAAAGGACCAAAGACACAACAATTCTTACATTGATAAGGATCGAACCAAAATCTATTTCTTTAAAAAAACAGAAATGGTCAAATATATCATTTAAGAAAAGTGGCACATCATTTGGGGGGATTTTATTAATTTTAAAAACAGATTCTTTTTTTCTTGCAAAGTGTTGCATAAAATAAGAACTCAGATTAATAACTTTCTGCATTTCATAAGTGAAAAACTTGAGGGCATAAAACATACGTAACAAATGAAAATACAACTTGGGTTGAAAGCTTTTTGTTCCCTTGTATAGTAACTCGGGCACATACATTCTTCTCGATGGCTGTTATGAAAAAGTGAATTTTATCTAATTGCTTCTCAGATAATCAAAAAATTTTATAAATTATCCTTAGCACCTATTAATCCTCCATTAATAGACTTCAAACACTGCAAGACTATGAACGCTATAAAAGTGAATCTATAAAACTAGCATCATAAAGCTTAGTTTTTAGTTTCAATTCTAACTTGGTAATCAGCAAAGCTCCTTGCTGTACATCTGTAGAAGTTCAGTACTAAAGTCTAGATAGGTTTTCGTTTGTTGGCTGTTTTATTCCCTTTGCAGGGCTGGAGAACTGACAGAAGCCGTTTTCCTGACGGTCTGTTCAACTTGAAACAAAAGGCAAGAGTCAACCACTGTGTATTCAGTCTACACACGCTTAGGCTTCTTCCATTTAAAACTTAGTTAAGCATTCTAAATCAGTTTAGAGACAAGGTCAGTCTCCCATAAACTCTGCTGTGTCACATTTATGAAAAAAACCAAAACATCCAAGCCAAAACAAGCACAGAACAGCTTAAGAATTACAGTTAATAGATGTAACTAATTGGACCGACAAGAAAAAATCCCAAGTTTTTACTGGAAAGGCTTCAGCAGTGTGATTCCTTTCACATAAAACACACGCCAAACAAAAAATAAAAGAACAATTTTGGATTTAACACCACATACACATATCATTGCATGGAATTTTGGAAACTTTCAAGACAGGACAAGGCCTATTAAAAAAAAAAAAAAGGTGTATGAACTGAACTACTTACTTCCTCAGAGAATCAATAATATCCATAGAAAAGTTTTCATCCCAGCCACAGTCCAAAAGAAAACGAAATTCATCTACTTGCAACAGATAACAAAGGGCAGATTCCTCCTGCACCCCTGAAAGCGTAGTTAACTTGATAATCGATGTCATTTTCCTCTCCAAGTGTTTAATCTCCAAAAGAACTAATCTGAAGGGGGCAGAAGAAAATGTCTCATTTACTAACACAAAGAAAAAAGTCTATTTATTTAGATCTAGCTTCATACACTCCTGAAAATATGCAGGGTAACGGTGTTAACAATGTTCAATACAGCTGCTGGATACCAACTAAGTCTCAAATAGTAACGTTCTACCGTTATAGGTCTTCTGTTATAGAAAGAGGGGGTTTGTTGTTTGGGGGTTTTTTTACAATATATAACTGTATAAAGCTTAAAAACAAACAAACAAACAAAAACGATCGCTAGAAGCAGCGCAGTTAAGAGCAGCTTCCCGGGGCCGGACGGGGGCACTCGGAGATGGCGCACCCAGGGCCGCGACCCCTCCAACGCCCCGAGTAGGGGCACAGAGCCCGCGCTCCGCACGGGGGTCCGGGGCTCCAGCGCCCGCCGGGCCCCGCAATCCAGGCCCGGCCTGACAGGGCGAGTCTCGCCGGGTGGGAACGGCGTTTCGGGTACGAGCCCTGCGCCCACTGCAGTCGGTGAAGAAGAGGACGAGGAGGAAGCGGAGGACGAGAAGGAACAGCCGCTACCTGAGGCGCTCAGCCCGGCCCGGCGCGCGCCGCACCCGCCGCCATCTTGCGGGAGGCGGGGAGGAGGGGATGGGCAAGCGGAAGGGTGGCGGGCGGCACCACTGCTAGCCGGCCGGGGGGGGGAGGAAACGTGCCCCCCCCGGTCCTGCGTGGCCCATGGTCGCTCCCAGCCCGCCCGTTCCCAGTGCCCTTGGTGCGGCCGCAGCGGGGCCCGGCGGCGCGAGCGGCGGTAACGACGGGGCCGCGCGGAGGGCGGGAGCGCTGGGGGTGGTTCTGTGGGACCGATGTCACACTTCTGCGGGAGCCCCTCGCTCCCTCCCCAACCCCTTCGGCCGGGACACGGCGCCTCAGCCTCGGAGCTTTATGACGCTCTTGCCCCTGCGGCCAGAGTCGTGCGGGAGCGGTCGGGGTCCCAGGCGGGCGGGGGCAACGGAGCCAGGCAGTGGCGGGGCCCTGTCGCGGGGGAGCGCGGCCCGGGCCGCTCCCAGGGCCGGGGCCGGGGCCGGGGCCGGTGCGGGGGCAGTGCCTCCCGCCCGCTCCGCAGAGGGTGGGTGCGCGGCCGCCCCACAGCGGCCGCGGCGGGAGCGGCGGCGCCGGTGCCCGAGCGCGGGGCCTGGCTCTGGGGAACACTGCCGTGGTGTCGAGCTTAACTCCCTAACCTGGAAGGGATTGGTTGGGTTGGAAAGGTTTGCTGTGCCTGTTTATTCTGGAGAAGGGAAGACTGAGAGGGGAGCTCATTGATGAATATAAATATCACAAACGCGGGTGCCGGGTGCATGGTGACAGACTCTTTTCAGTGGTGCCCAGCGATAGGACAAGGAGCAATGGCCATAAACTGAAACACAAGAAGTTCCACCTCAACACGAGGAAGAACTTTACGTTAAGTTTGGCGAAGATTGCAACAGGCGGCCCGGGGAGGTCATGGAGTCTCCCTCTTTGGAGGCATTCCATACCCACCTGGACACGTTCCTGTGTCACCTGCTCTGGGTGACCCTGCCTTGGCAGGCGGATTTGGACCAGATGATCTCCAGAGGTCCCTTCCAACCCTAACGATTCTGTGATCTTAGAAATGTCCTTTCTTATCTGTCAGCTCTCTACTGAATGTGCAGCTTGTCTTTCAGTCTTGATACAGGTAATAAGGCATCCATCTACAGGAGTTTAAATTATAGATGTGTTTGTTTTACATGGATGTGTTCTGTTTTACAGAACAGCAAACTTGTGTAGAGTTGCTTTAATGGGTAGGTAGCTCTTTAAAATGGAACTATTTCATCAGGGATATCTTAAAAGAGATGTTCTATTTCTCTCTCTGTTTTAGGATGAAATCCTCTTTCCAAGGGTGAAGAGTTAATTAGGATTATTTCTAGGAAACATAGGTATGGGTTTGAGAACAGCACATCTCTTAGGAAGTGTGTGATGGCCTTCATGTTTATTATGTGGTTGTAGAATCCTAGTAAGTGAGAGTAAAGGTGTCAAGTATGCAACAGTTTCCATGTGCAGATTTATTAGTAATTCTTACCTGTTATGCTTTTCTTTCTAGCAGTCATTATGGTGAATTTACCACAAGTTGTGCGTGATCACTGGGTCCACATCCTTGTTCCCTTGGGATTTGTGATTGGATGCTATTTGGACAGATGGAATGATGAAAAACTGTCAGCTTTCAGAAACAAGAGCTTATTATATAGAAGGTCTGCTTTATGATGCTTCTTAAATATATATATATCGTTATTTTGCAAAGTGCTTCTTTTTGAGAGTTTTAGATATGACCAAAAACCCCAACCGTCAAAATATTAAAGGAAAGAAATCCCTAAAAATTTCATCAAGCATTCATGAAGTGTTTTAGGTCACTAAATTGGGTCTTTAGGAGCCAACTTGTTTAGGAAAGAAAGGATTATTAACTGCTATCAAGTTCCTAGTCATGAAGTGTGTAGAACACTATTTTGTCTCTCTCTAAAAGTTCAGCGGGAAACACAGTGCTTGAATTTTAGTTTTCTGTCTTAAATTATCACATCACTTTTTAACTAAATACTTGTATGAATGTATGTTATTTAAAAATAATAACCAAGGTTTTAAAAATTAACTTCTTTTGGCAACTGCTATATCTTCACTGAATGATGTGATTATATCACCATCATCATGGCTGGGCTTCACGAAGGAGGATTTGGGAAGGTCTCTACCCACAGTTGCTACAAGCGCACTGGTGGCTAAAAAGGCCAAGATAGACAAGTCTGGTTGCAAAAGGCACAGCAGAAAGACTCCTTAGGAGGCATATTCTGCAAGACACGATCCTTTCTGCGTTGTCTTTTCTCCTCACGGGTGATCCTGCGTGCGTTCTCAAAGGCATCAGTA